GGCCTGTGTGTGTGGCCTGTTTTTTTGGGGGTGGGGCCTGGTGTGTGTGCCTGGTGGTGGGCCTGTGTGGGGGGTGTCCCGTGTGTGGTCCCTGTTTGTGTGCCGGGTTGGGGGTTGCCTGTGTGTGTTGCCTGTGTTGTGCCTTGGTGGTCCCTGTTGGTGGCCTTGGTGGTGCTTGTGTTTTGGCCGTGTGTGGTGCCTGTGTGTGTGGCCTGTTGTTGTGCCTGTGTGTGTGTGCCTGTGTGTGTGTGCCTGTGTGTGTGTGCCTGTGTGTGTGTGCCTGTGTGTGTGTGCCTGTGCCTGTACTCACCTATTTGTACTCACCTATTTGTGGTTGCAGGGGTCGAGTCTTAGCTCCTGGCCCCGCCTCTTCACCGGTTGCTACTGGGCCCTCTCTCTCCCCGCTCCATGAGCTTTATCAAACCTCGTCTTAAAACTGTGTATGGTTCCTGCCTCCACTACGTCATTTTCTAGGCTATTCCACTGCCTTACAACTCTATGACTGAAGAAATACTTCCTAATATCTCTCTGACTCATTTGTGTCTTCAACTTCCAATTGTGGCCTCTTGTTTCTGTGTCCCCTCCCTGGAACATCCTGTCTTTGTCCACCTTGTCTATTCCACGCAGTATTTATATGTCGTTATCATGTCTCCCCTGACCCTCCTGTCCTCCAGTGTCGTCAGGCCGATTTCCCTTAATCTTTCTTCATAGGACATTCCCCTTAGCTCTGGAACTAACCTTGTCGCAAACCTTTGTACTTTCTCTAGTTTCTTGACGTGCTTTATCAAGTGCGGGTTCCAAACAGGTGCTGCATACTCCAGTATGGGCCTGACATACACAGTGTACAGTGTCTTGAATGATTCCTTACTAAGGTATCGGAATGCTGTTCTCAGGTTTGCCAGGCGCCCATATGCTGCAGCAGTTATCTGATTGATGTGTGCTTCCGGAGACATGCTCGGTGTTATACTCACCCCAAGATCTTTCTCCTTGAGTGAGGTTTGCAGTCTTTGGCCACCTAGCCTATACTCTGTCTGTGGTCTTCTGTGCCCTTCCCCTATCTTCATGACTTTGCATTTGACAGGATTAAATTCGAGAAGCCATTTGCTGGACCAGGTGTCCAGTCTGTCCAGGTCTCTTTGAAGTCCTGCCTGGTCCTCATCAGATTTAATTCTCCTCATTAACTTCACATCATCTGCAAACAGGGACACTTCTGAGTCAACCCCTTCCTTTCATGTCGTTCACAATACCAAAATAGCACTGTTCCTAGGCCCGACCCCTGTGGGCCCCCCTGTCGTCACAGGGGCCCACGTATCCCATATTACGTACCATAAATTTTGTTTTTTGCCCCCTGTCAGGTATTCCTGATCCACTGCAGTCCCCTTTCCCCTGTTATACCCGGCCTGATGCTTTTTGCTTCTGCACAAATCTCTTTGAGGAACTTTTTGCCCAAAGGGCCTTCTTGCAGTTCCAAAGAAGATGCAAAACAACCCCCCCCCTCTCTTCGTGTCTTACTTTCTGTTTTTTATCAAAAAAACCCCGAAGGTTTTTTGAACAGGATTTCCCTTTCCGTAAAATCCGTGCGGTTTTTGGCATTTATAGTCTTTTTCCGGGTTCCAGGTGCTCCCCCAAATCTCCCCCTGAAATCTTCTCCAAAATTTTTTTGGATACTATAAAATTCAATAAACACGGGTCTATATTTTTGGGTGCCTTTTTTTCTGTCCCCTTTTTTAAAAAATGGGAACTTTTTTTTGCCATTTTTCCCCTACCTCAGGTATTCCCCCTTTTTTTCCCGGGGAAACGGGGTTGAAGATTGTTTTGGTCGCCTGGTGTGTGGGGCGCCTTTGTGTGGGGTGCCCCTGTTGTGTGTGCGCCTGTGTGTGTGTGTGCCCGGGGGTGGGGGGGTGTCCCCTGTGGGGCGGGCCGGGGTGGGGTGTGCACCGTGGGGTGACCTGTGTTGGCCCTGGGTGTGCGCGCTTGTTGTGTGGGGCCTTTTGGGTTGTGTGTGTGCCGTGTGTGTACTCACCTATTTGAGGTTGGGGGGTTGAGCCCAAACCCTGGCCCTGCCCCACGTGTATTGTGTGTTTGGGGATGGGGGGGCGGGATCTACCCTTTAAAATACCTTTTTAAAAACTTGTGGCAGGGAGTATCAACACTTTTTACTATCACCCCTTACCAAAACCATCCCCAATCGACATTTTTAAAATAGTAATAATAAAAATTAAAAATAATTTTATTTCTAAAGGGTACACAATAGTAAAAGGGTATCCCGGCCTATCTGACATCAATGACAACTACAGTACAAGTAAGCCACTTGTTAGCGAGGCACTTCGGGAAAAAATTAGGTCATTTTGCCCCAAAGGTTTTACGCCCCAAAACCAGTTGCAAAAACCCCCAGGTACCCATTTTATACGGATGGGGGGAACAGGAACACCAGTTGCTTATGGCAACGGTCTTTAATTTTTGCCCCAGCCCCCCGGGAAGTCGAAA